GCTATTGATGCCAGTTGCTCTAGCCGTCTGTAGAAATAGGCTAATGACATAGGATGTCATTTCGCTTCGTACACTACTTAATTTTTCACACCAGCAAGCTTCCAGCTTCCAATACAACAAATGAGGCAAGCTAACGGCATCCGGAGCTACAGCAAAGCCGTCTACGCACCTACGGGCCTGCCAGATTGGTCTGGAACATTGGTATTAAAAAAAGCCCCTGCCAAGGACCAAAATGACGGCATCTATCAATCTAAACGAAGCAATACAGCGCGACACGTTTTCCAACACGGCTGGAAAGGCTATTGTCGCTTCTATTGTCAATAAGGTCGTCTCTCTACTCTGAAACATCAACTCTTCAACAATTTTCAACAATGCAGCTATCACCATAGCCCCATGCGCCTGAATTTTGCTCTCGAGAGTCTTCGCCGACAGCGGCAGGGAAACCGTTGACTGTGCAGGTTTGGCGGAGTGGTCGATCTCGACGCTCACCTCAAACAGCGTGTCTGCGTACGGTGCCCACACTCGCCGATCTAAACACGTCGTCAACAACAAAATTTTTTGAACAAGGAGTTAATAGAATGGAGGGTTGCATATTTTTTAAGACCGAATTACGACAGCTAGTGAACAGGTTCTCTATCGCGTGCTCCGAAAAACACAAAAATATGGCCGGCTCTCTTGAACTTTAGAAGTCGCCCTGAAAGCTGTTGATGAGTGGTTCGCTGCTGTGCAGAAACAAGATTTCTTCCGGTTCGTGTCCGAATTATTTCCCAGCGTTGCTGGTGCAAATTCAACAGGAACTTGCATGTTCCTTGCAGTTCAACATACACTTTAATTGACTGGCGAGCTATTAGAAGCCCAAGACTATCATATTCAGAAATTTAATTCTCGGTCGGAAGAACGTAGACAAGATCTGTGTCACAAAGTAGCGCGAGGAGGCGTAGAGGCGGAGACGGCGAGTACGGGCGCCGGAGACAGTTATAGGGGAAGAGGAGTTGTTGCTCGAAGGCAAATTGAGAAGTGACTAATCCGTTAGACCTGGCAGCGACAAGCTAGTCATTGCCGCACAACCAGCAGTTCTTGACAGCCATATATTCACGCACGTATCCAGGGGTCCCGTCCTAAGAACTATCTTTCGCAAATCATGTTTTCTCTGTAACTTTCAAAGCCTATTAATCCTCAATCTTATCTTGGTCGGTAATTTCGCACAGCGTCCCATAATCGCAATTTCCGGATGGAAACTTGATTGTTGCAAATCCATGGGGTTATGAACCAATAGGATTGTAGTTTGATGTGAAAGACACGCAATTTGAGGTTTACGCCGACCAGAATAATCTGACCAGCTAAACTTAAATAATTGGCGTGGCTGGTCACCTCCATGTCATTGGCCAGTGACCACCACGTCACAATCAGTCACATGAAGCCTCATGGAGTATATTTCGTTATTTTACAACTGCAGATAGCTGGCTTGCGTTTGTCAATGAATGACATTGAGCTATATCAACACAGTACTAGACATCGGGATATTGCTGTATTTACTAGGTTGCAGTTAGAATATGGTATCTTTTTAGTTGCAGCTAGCAGTACTATGGCCGATGGACATGTATTGTCCTACAGATCTGCACGCCATGCCATACCATGGCACAAAATCAGGTGATCTTATTGGCTAGCATTTCGCTGGGGTCAGAGACTAAAGTAAATGAAATGGCACGGGGCGCCATGGATAGCATGCACAAGTGTCGCGTGGAGTGTCATTGCCATCATGCCATCGAGAAGAGATTTTGTTTTGTCTTCATTCTTCTTTGCCTAAAACAATAACTTCTGCGATCCCAGGCCCATGGCACAGTAGCAGGCAAAACTCATTCCTAACTACGCGATTCCATACCATAAAATTGCCGACACCTGGCCGACTGTGCCGACAAGACATGATTGGTCGAAAATGTAAGAAAACTGATTGATTCAAGTGATTAGATTGACACGGAAGGTGTAGGAAACTTGCGCAGTGCAACACTGGTTGTACGCCAAGCGAAGTTCGCTGCGAACAAAGTAAATAAAATAATATATGCAGCATATCATATTTAATGTTGTGCAAAGGCTGCACCTCACAGCCTACTCCATGTAGCGTTGTGTAATATGATGCTAACTTCTCGTCTCTTGAGAGAGCTAGGAGGCGACTACTTCATGCATCCAAGTGGCAGCATTTATTTAACAATGCAACTTCCATTTTTTTTTTTGACATAATGTTTTTTTTCATAGTTTGCTTTTCGCAACTATTATCCCAGCTGGCAGGCACTGACTGTATTTTAGCTTCAAATCACATGCAAAAACGATAATACAGTACCACACTCGGGAATACTGTACTCGCCCAGTATTACTAAAAGGACTATTTACAGTTAATAATACATGTTGTTCGAATGGCTTACCGGTATACGGTTGGTCATGGTGGTCGGCATTGTGACTGTATCTCCTGCTACAGTAGCAACAGAAAGCGCTTGTGACAAGCATGGAAACGCATTTCGTATCTCCGGCTGTGAGTCATAAGGGCTTTCTGTGCTAATGTAGCTGGAGATACGGACTGCGTTAGATTTAGTATTGAAATGCAGTGATGTTTTAATCAATGCGTAGTAGTAGTATTCTATGCTTATATTGTATAGTAATAAGTGCTTCAAACATGTTTTTACACACAGAATTTAATTAACTCATACAGTATGTTCGGTACGAGTGGTGTATTTGTTTTCCCTAGTGTTAGGCCATCGTCACCGGAAGATCATGGGCCTATAAGTAGGTACTTTTAAATATACCGTCGGAGCTCAAGCTTTGTTACGGTTGGGACGGAGAATTTGTGTCATTGAAAATTACATTTTCACAAGGTATCATCCGATACAAAGTACTATTTGATGTGATTTGCCATATTAAAGTATTAAACCGTAATGATACATGGACTTTAAAATCAAATCAGTGATTGTATTTTAGCAAATCGATTTAGAAAATCTCAGTTAAGCCTGGATTGCGTGACTAACCATAGATTATTTTGCATTTGGTAAACATGGATTGTTTTACAAAGAGGAAATACCATCGGTCAGTAGAAAACTACTGATCTGTCCCCAACGCGGCGCAGAAAAGACGGTAATCAGTAGAAAATGATAAAGTTCGATCCGTACCTAACTCTATCATAGCTACATTTCTGCTGCCTTCAGCAAAACCGCTTTTGCCCTAAGCGTACCATACCTCGAAAGCCGCCTCCGAATTATGGGAGTTCTCCCTTCGTGGTAGATCTTTCTGACATCGCTACAGCTATAAGCATGGGTGTTTTGAGGGAGGACGCAAAAGTTGATACCTCAGACCGCTCCAGCCAAAAGTATGGGGGAGCATACGCGACGCGAACCAATATTGCAGACACTGAGTTTCCAACACAAATAAGGAAACTAACGACACAAACAATTGCAATCGTTGACTGCTGATTAATAATTAAGGTATTTCTTTCCAATACATTATCTTACTGATCCTCACTCTCAATAAATATCAGCAGCAAACGGACTGGGGAGTCAATCTCTGTGAGTAGATAGAACTCTACTAACGTACCCTTAGAGTAACCAGTTGGATACGTCGTGTACTCAGCTACTTCAACGTCAACATGTTATTTCGGTGTACTATTTTTTAGCTGCTCAAAACGCCTTTATTTATATGTGGAGTGCACGTCGGTGGCATTCGCCATTTTGGTCGATGCCTCCGCTCAACCTCCGACAGCGTCACGCCCGAACGATCCAGCGCCGTTTGGACGGCTCCTTTTGGCAGCTTCGTCTAAGCAGAGAAGTTAGCATACCGAACGAAGTCGACCAAGAGCTGGACGCCGTGCGTGCATCGTCCATAGGTGGTGGGTTACGTGACGTTGTCAGTAGAGGAGGAGGTCTTTTTGCAAACGAGCGCCGAGCTCGTTGAGGAGACAATGCTCAGCTCTTCGAGGTAGAAAGAATATTCGCCAAACGGTGGGTCAATAACTTCGTATACTACCTTATTCAATGGGTGGGGTACACAGAGTTGACGCGGGAGCCAAGTGCCAACGTGCCAGCGCGCCTAAAGATGGTGTTCGAGCACGAGTCAGTCAATTTCGTCTGGGTCTATCAATCTACGCGGGGAAGACGAACCCAGCGTCGCGAGCAGCCAACGCGCCGGAGTCAGAGACTGATAGACCAAACGAGGCAGGACTAAGAGAAAATGCAAATGCGAACTTAACACCAAACGAGGCAGGACTAAGAGAAAATGCAAATGCGAACTTAACAGCACTCCAGTAGCTGTGAAATCAGTAGTTGTGCAGGCAGCGCCGCGTTGGGGACAGATCAGTAGTTTTCTACTGACCGATGGTATTTCCTCCACCACGGTGGTGGGTGGTGACCACCCACTATTAATATACATGTACATGTAGTTCATGCTCCATATGGTGAGCGAATCATCATTGTTGACGAAGCTTACCGACAGTAGTGTCGTCATTTACACTGGCAAGGAGGCATCGCGTGTACTGGAAACTGGTACTATTATGTAGCGTGCGGAAGCTAAAGAGCTAAGAAAACCGCAACCATCTACAGTAGAAAATACAGATAAAATGTACATCTTTGAGAACGATCCAGATCGTACTTAAGTCGCCGCATATCGTACTTTGGTGGGTTTTCACTCAAGACGATATTGCGCGTTCAATCAAAGAGCCGCGCGCGGTATTTTCTACAGTAGTAGAGCGCACAATACTTCCCACGTATATAAATTAATAGTATTTTTGATCTTTCAACCACAATAATGCTTAACTTTAAAAAAGCTGATTTGAGCAATACAATCTTCTGTAAAGTACGAATTCTGCCTAAAAATAATTAAAACGTGCATTCAAAAGGAAATTTGTATGCGAGTGACTATTTGACTTGCTAAAACAAAGAGTTTTTTTCTAGAAAGTACTTTGTTCCACGAAAGTATTTTTCACATACCGGTGGTGTGGACCCCACAGAAGAATAAATCCGATGTGGTCCCGACTTACGGAGGGCTTAGCTGATATCGTGGCGCCCGAGGAAGGCGACGAGCTAGAGAGCAATGACGACGACCAGCTGTGGAATCGCTTCACCGCCGTGGTAGCGCCCCCTCCTCCATCCCCAAACGCTACAGCTGCTGTTGCGGAAGAGGACGAGCAAGAGCAGTATATCTGCGAGTTGGAGCGTGCTCTCCTGCAGCGAAAAAAACAGAACGAGACGCTCGAGTCAAAAGTATAAAACCGTTCAGCTGCTTGGTGTTTGTATGTGCAATGCATTGACCTAAATGTATGTTAAATAGCTTCTCGAGCTAGAGAGTCAAGCGGGGGAAGAGAGACAGCTCAAGCGACAGATGAAGCAGCAGGTAGGTGAGACCAGTTTTTTATTAGTGTTTTGTAATACTTTTACTAATACCTCTTTGTATTATTTTTATAGGAGCTGGAAATTGCCCAGCAGAAGGCTACTATTGAGAGGCTCCAGGCTGCTCGACATGATGTGACAATACAGCGCGAAGAAGGGTCCACTTCAGGGTCAGAGCGTGATCGACTAGTGCTGGAACTGCGACAGTCCCAAGCTGAGGTAATGATATTAAACTGCACTAGCCTCTTTGGAACGAGATTACTAAATATTACTTTTTTTTCAGGCGAATGTTCTAGCGACGCAGTGTCAAGCTCACGAGAAGGAGTTGATCGCTTTACGTGACCGTGTAGAAGAGCTGCAAGCTGCTAATGAGACGTTGCAGGAGGACGAGCGGGAGGCTCGTAGTAGAGCTGTCGAGTATGAACAAGGATACATGGATTTATTAGCAGAAATTGAGAAGATAAAGACACAGAACGAGACGGAGAAGGCAGCGTTGCTTGCGAAAAGCGAGGAGCACTCGAGCTCGATTGACAGCCAGAAACTCTATGACCTGGAGGCTCGGTTGACTACGTCGGAAGCCGATAAGGTAGTCGCCCAGCAAGACGCTGAGCGACTGCAGCGAGACCTGGATGCTCTTGAAGGCGTCTTGCATCAGTTCCAGGTAGAGAGCAAGGCTCAGAAAGAGCGTGTTGCTGCGATACAAGTGGAGCTCGAACAAACGAAGGCAGAGCTGCAAACGCGCCAGCCTCTACCGGAACCTTCGGAAGAAATGAACGATTTAGAGAGGGTTATGGAGAAACTGGCCAAGAAAACACACGAGTGTGAACAACTTCGAGAGGTACGGGAAATTGTTATTTTTCTGTAGTATTTTTTACTGATGAACAAATTTGTGTAGGCGCTTGAAAGCACAGCGACGCACTATAATTCGGACCGTGACGTGCTGGATAAAAGACTTGCGGCTGAATTGGTGGTACGAATACCTACCGTACTTTACTGCGCGATGTTACCCCGTAGTATTTCTGCTGACTTTTGACTATTTTACTACAGGTGGCCTATGTGGATAGTACCAAGAAGAACGAAGTACTTCAGCTCATGGCGAGAATGATGGTTTGTTTTACAAATGCTGACAAGTTTGTTACTACTATTTCTTAAAATACTATTTAAATGAACTATTCTGCAGGGGTTCTCGGAGGAACAAAAGCGCCGTGTTGGCTTGGGATATCAAATTGAAGGAAATGGAGGCGGGGGACTGTTCTCGTCTATTATCGGGCTTGTTGCTCCAGGCGACAGCGGGACTGCTCCCGTCGACCCGTCGGCGATAGAAGGCAAGAGTTTTGCTGATATGTGGTCCGAGTTCTTGCTTGATGAAGCGTCCAAAGAAAAATAATACAAACCGGCTAAGCAAAAAGCGACATAGTAATTAGCTCTTTAATTTTAAAACGAGCTCAAAGTAAGCACTCGAACCACTTGAATGGCTTCTGGGAGTCTTTAAAGATACTGTCGTGGGTCAGAAACGCTGTGTCTGCGTGGTTCAAAACTGGTCTGTAAAAAGTGTTCTCGTAGCTGTTCCCGAACAGGTTTGGGTCGAGGCCTCCCAAGCAGCTCTGGAACTCCACTAGGCCGTCGTTTTTGGACGATTTATGCGGAATCACTGTGCCTCCAACGATACACGACAAGTAGAACTTCGACAAGACGCCGTCGTAGAAATCACTGCACATGGCTGCATCCACATTAGTACGATACGCTTCTTGAGCCTTTTTGTACGCTGCGTCTAGAGCTGCGTTGCTGTATTCTCCACCTTCGTAGGATATTGATCTACGTGAAGCAGAGGCAGGACACTGGCCGACCCATTGTAGTAATGGTGCTGCAACGGTACTGACCTCACCGTCGCACAATTCTTGGATATAGTCTCCAGCCATGCTACCTTTCATCGGTGCACTGAGACTCACCCACGTCGTTGTGTCAGCGAATTTAAACTTCCCTGTAGCGAGAGCGTTCGCCATCACTAGTCCACCCATCGAATGCGTCACAACGATAGTATCCGAAATGGTCCGTGTAGATGCGTCACTGGAAGCACTCATTGAAAGCGAGAAATCACAGAACTTTTCCATAAGTGCGTCATCTGTCCATCCAGCGTCTACAGTGTTCAAAACGGCGTACTTGACTGTAATACAACACGGAGCGTGGTCACCGATGTCTCCGAACTTCTCTTTCGTCAGCTTGGGCGAGTCTTCAAGGTCTGGCGTCTCGTTTGGGTTGCCCAAGCCGTGCAGGAAGATGCACGGGCGTGGAGTCGACTTACACTCACATTTTTCTTCACCTAGTTCTATTGATATAGCCTCTTTCAGGTTTCTGGAAGCGGGTGGCAGCGCTTCACCTGTAAGCAGTGCGAGTGCTGTCGGTGTCATTGGTGCGGGTTTTACTACAACAGGACAAGATCGAACCGCGTCCTTCGTCATTGGTACCGACATGTTACGGGTCGGACTCTGCAGATATTCCGCTGTCATCGTGACATCGAGTCCGTACGCAGCAAAACCCGACGAACCCGATGAACACAAGACGAACTGAACCCCACCAAACGATGTCTGAAACAGCGCTCCGTTTGGACACTCGACAGCTTTCCCTCCGACGGACGCGCTTGAAACTGAGCTAATGTTGTTGAGCGCTGGTAGCATGTTCTCGAACGGTAAGATCGACGGAAGACAGCGAGCCTTCTGTGATGTTGCTGAGGTACTGGAGCTTTCCACCATGTACGATACGCCGTCTGCGAGCATGTACGTGATTCTGGCGTCGTTTTGAACGAAGTTAGCGATGCCGTCGTACCGCAGTGTGTTGTCCTCAGACACGACTGGATTCGCAAATACGTCGAAGGGAGACCGTCCATGGATGTACATATTCTTGCCCGTTAGCGTAACTTGCAACCGAAGTGCGGGTACTTTCGATAGCGCTTGAAGGTGTTCATTACTGTTCACGGGGCCAATTATGGGAATGCCGGCTGCTACGAGGGTTAGAAGAGCGCACACGACGGCCAAAACTGATGGATAGAAGCTTGAAACATTCAAGTTGGCAAGAATGCGTTAACTAGATGACGGAAATGAAAATGTGGTATTGTCGTGAGCCTTCCCGATCGCCTGTGCATTAGGTATGTACCGTACATGTACCAAGTGCCGGAGTTTACATGCATACTGTACATGTACCTGTATGCATTAGCAATGCTTACATTTAAAGAAACGGTTCACGCTACCGGTATTAATATGGTGTGAGCAGTGCACTAAATGTACTGTACCGATATCGAAAAATACGCGTTTTGACTTGATTTATGTAATAAAGATCGAGCGCGGTGCCAATTTTATTAAGTCTTTCATTCAATGATGCCAATGAATTGACAGCGTGAAACGGTATCGTGCCGGATTACTACATGTACGAAGAAGCCCTTAAAAGTAAAGGAGTCTCTGCCAGAGAAGAAAGGGTATGTCTTCGGCTGTCACATATAATAAACATACAGCCTGTAAGACAGCAATGATTTGCTTTTGATGCCTCGACGGTACTTCACCCGGTGAAATCAGCGTACATCATGTACAGTACGTACGTATTCAACGAAACAACCTTATTTTATATTTTAATAAAATATTAAATTACAAGTGTAAATCGTATACAGTATCCCATTTGATTCCAAGTAAATTATAGGGCTAAAATTACGACCTGAAAAAAACGAAGACGTGAAATTGAGTGCAAGTCAAAACGGAGAAGACCAAGCGGATGCGAGGTCATTTAGCCTCAGCAAATCCGCATGGTGTACTTGCGATGGCGGGCCTAGCAGCAAGCCAAGCATTGCACCTCCAGATGAGAGAATTTTTCTACGACGCGCAGGGAAGCAAACCCTAACGATCACAATGGCATCCAGCCTATTTATCTTTAAACTGTGATGACAATGACAAGTAGGAATTGCCTTACAAAAAAAGTAGAACGAATGATATATTTTTTAAATAACTACCATTTCATATTATTTTTTTCGCTCTGCCAAAAGTACACTTCGAAACAGAACGTTCGTATTATTGTAGCACCATTTACACAAAAGGGATCGTTGTGCAGACTGTACAGCTGAACACTTGTACATGTATTACAAGTGTACACGTACCGCGTCTTTGCAAAATTGAGATTCGTTATCCGATCTCAAATCCTTATCATTTGCTTAAGCAACACTTTTACATTCCAGATAGTACTATTAATAATACTTTGAAGTAGTATGTAGTACATACAGTACATACTATGTACTGTTGTCCTTTCCAGTGTACTTTGCACAGTCATCTTGAGAAAACAAGAGCAAGCAGAGACATTACGCTGTGGTAAAGTACTGTACATTGCTTCATTAGTTCATGGCGCGTGTTACTGTGCCCGGCAGAGTGAAATGTGACGGGGGCCCCGTCACAAGGCTAATGTGACCGGTTGAGCCCAGCTGATACCGACTGAGCCCGGCTAGACGAGAGTCAGTGCCGCGGATGAGTGGTTGGATTTATACGTATAGACGGCTTCCTTTTTGTCCAAGAAAAAAATCAACTGATACTCTAAGAAAAAATCACGTGTGGTGTCTTGCATTGGCACTGAAACACTTAGCAAAAAAAAGTGTTCAAGTATGGTGTTTAAATTGGTGAGTCGTACTGTGGTAGTGTTTAAATTGGTAAGGTGCAGTGTAATGTAAAAAGTGATGTATTTAAAGGCACATACACATATACCTGTATCGGAGACATTGGAGCATCTTCTTGTCAACGGCTTCCACTGCATTTGCTCCGCACAACATCAAATACAAGTAGAACGTACACGCCACAGTTGTAGCTATCCGTTTGTATGCCGAGGCTAGATTCGTATGAACGGGTGCGGTAACGCTTCAAACCAGCACCCGGAAGCAAACTTACCAGAGACCCGGCAACAGCCCGGATACTTGCCATGAAACTTAAATGCATCGGGTCGTACAATAGTAGTTCATCGGTAGCAGAGTTGACGATGATTGCACACCAGTGGTTCCCGCTACAGTTGATCGGGATAAGAATCCGTTGACTGGTTACTTCATTCAATACAACGCGTAGCGCATCTCGATCCGTTCTGATGCTGTCATTTCTGGTGATGCTCACAGTAGTTGGGTTGATCATCACTACCATTTTGTCCGTTCCGAATAATTTTTGCATGGCAGTCCACGTAGTTGTGTCTTCGAGGGATCCCTTAGCAGCAAAATAGAGAATATTTATCTAGACAGTCGTAAATACGCAATAATGTTAACCTAAATAATGTGTGGAGGATAAGTTTAAGAAAAAAAGGATACGTACCTGCTCGGACAGAAGCGGCATTGATTTCAACTTGGTAGGCAAATTGGGATCTGTTTCAACGTGAAATGACGTATCACAAAGCATTGACACGTCCACCGAGGAGATCCAATGCAGCACGCGTTCAACAGTCTTAGCGGCAGTCAGTGCCCAATGCCACTGCTTCATTATTGAGAGCGTGCACGGCATAAAATGCCTACACCCACCACCTCAATTGCAATGTCCTGCTCAGCCATCCCGTTTCAATTCCGTTAATACGCCGTCACCTTAGCATCGCATTTTCGTAACAGGTCCCATGCAAACACCCGCGTAAACTCACAGACATTTGTGATTGGTTTTCCCGGTGGTAGCTGTGACGCACTGTGTGCAATTGGCGGTTTTGGTCGTCTGTCAAACACGGATTGTTTGAACTGGTTGAGCAATTGACCGGCTGACTCGTACGTAGCCTCTCCAGAAAGTGCCTCTTTAATCGAGTTGAGGGACAACCGTCTTTCATGCATGTCCGAATCATCACGGGTCATCTCGATTGCAATACTTTTCTTGTCCTTTTTTGCTTTTGGTTTCTGTTTTGGTCGTCCACGAGGCCTCACCGGACTTGCGATGTCAAAGTCGGTGGTGGGATTCACAGAATGTAGCTGAATCTCACAGTCGCGCGATATAATCTCTGTTCGAGACTTTAATGTATCCAACAGGTTGCTCGGGGTACCCGACTGCGCAGCAACCGCACCCGACTGCGCAGGAACCGTACCCGACTCGCCACTCAGTATAACTGACTGGTCAGGAATCGTACCCGACTGGTCATTCAGTGTACCCGACTGGTTACCCGACCGAGGTCCCGGTGAACTCGATTCATCGCCCAGCGTTTCCGATAGGGCTTCAAGTGGACTCGCTTCAACTGGTGAGGTACTTGAAGGTCTCAAATCATTCGAGTGAACGGATTGTGTTTCGTACCGAGTGCCTTGAATTTTAGTGTCGCCCATAGTACCGGATTTTAATTGGTGCTCATCTGCTTCAGCTAGCCCAGCAATTTTGCTGAACTCTCTGCGCTTAATTACACTTGGCACTTGAGCCAATGCAGTCATGGCTAATCGGTACCCAGTCATACCAAGCCCGCTTATCGTCTTCGCAGATAGTGGTAGCCACATGACGAGCTACCCGAAACTTCCGATTTGAGTCCTTGGGTACTTCGGGCACTTGAAGCACAGTACCCATAGCGAAAGTTTTCTCGTCGTGTGTCATCTAGAGCGGTGGATACACGAAGAGACGACATTAACCATCTTGAATTTAAAGTCTGACTCGGAATGACCGTCTCGAACCCACGGGCCTTCCGAAGGTAAAAAAACGTGACGGCATGGAAGCAAACATGTTGCCATGAAAAGACACGAACATTCCCACTCGCGCGTGCTGACATGGTATTCCGAGCTCCAGCTGTCCAGAATATAGTCGTCCTTGTCGGTACTTTTTATAAATGTCATCCCCACGTACGGTTCATAGAATGTGTACGAAGCTTGATGCACTGCGTAATCGTACTGCTCGTAGATGAGCTCACAAACGTGCTCACTAACAAGGTTAGCCACATGAGCCATTTCACGATCATACTTTTGGTGCTGTACAACGCTTAGCTTATACACTGTTTGCCGAAATTGCTGTTCGGCCATTGTGTGATAAAACATGATAGAAGCGATGCACTCATAGAGTCCCATTAATGAGTGCATCGTATCTTTAAGCTGGTTCCACGACGACTCCGATCGGTTGTTCGTATCGTTGCCCAATGAAACAGCATTTTCACGCCTGTGTGCGCACTATAGCAGCCGACAATTATCCCAATTTTTTGCAAAGTAAACGGCAAATGGATGCAAACCTTGTTGGTCCTGGGACACTGCATTTGGGACTTTGGTCTCCTCCGAGTCGGGCTCAGACTGGGCTAAGTCGGGTTCATCACGAGCTGAGTCGGGTACCAACTGGGCTGAGTCGGGCACCAACTGGGCTGTGTTGGGCACGCGTTGGGCCGAGTCGGGAACCAATTGGGCTGTGTTGGGCACGGGCTGGGCTGAGTCGGGCGCGGATAGTAGCGAAGCTTGTTGTTCGGCAAAAGAAGCTGTTATACCCGTCGCCGCAGTCGAACATATGCGCGTGAGCTGGTGCATGTAGCTGAGATGTTTGATGTACTCTTGCTCTATCTTCGCGTACACCAGAAGGCTCACGATACTACGAATTTGCTTCTTCTGCCAATTACTGAAGCCATAGACTGACGATGCAACTTCCTCCGACAAGTACTTGATTACGTGAAAATGATAGAGAAGTACTCTGGCCTCCGGTAGAGCTGTCTTCAACACTGCTACCTCAGCGAAATCCTTATCAGTAATCACGCATTGTATTTTGGTCCAGGCTGGATTAGCCGCCTTGAATGATTCAATCGCCGTCAAGAGTGTGGGGGCTATCTCATTTTGTAGCGCACAATGTTGCACAAACTGACATTTACCAACGACATCATGCGCCATAAACATTGGTCCCGTGTGTTGCATCCATGAGCAGAACCTCCGGGAAACGGTCGAACATCTCGCGCATTGACTTGGTTTGGAACGTGATACACGTAGCCGTTTTCTGTAGACCCACAAGAAATCATTTTGTTAAGTTCATCAACAAAATATCTTCATGTAGCGTAACTTACCTTTCCAACCGTTGGGTCGAAAAAGATCCTGCCAACATTCCCACGTTCCGCGAAGAACTCCACCATCCATTTCTTTAATCTTTGTGAGCTGGTGCTGGACGATTGTTCTCTTGCCTTAAGGCGCTGGACGATGTTGTGTACATCGCGAATAGAGGGGTTGCATTTAGAATGCTCCTGGACAAACTTTAAGATATTCTTTTTCTTGGCACCTGCCTTTCTTAGCTCGTCGACCGTTTCCAACACCTCACCCTCAATGGCGGCTCGATGCGATGCATACTGCTCGTACGTCCGCCGATTAAGGTTATGGGAATACTCCAAGTTACTTTTCGTGATGAAGAGTGCAAAAGCCCTCTTACTTTTATCTGCGATACGAACTCAGACGCTAACCTATTAATACGCACAAAACAACGCACACCACGAATTAATCACTAGGCTAACAATGTAGTCATTAATACCCAAGTGAATCAGTACCCGACTGGACCCAACTGGTGCCCGACTGACACCCGACTGGCAAAATACGTACCGAAGCCTCGCAGCCCATGGGCATTGTTTCTTGGTGTGGTCGCTTTCCTTGCCCTCGCGACTTGTATGCGCCAGTATGCGTACAGATTAGCTTCTGATTCCCCCCACTCCGGCGGAATCAGCGACGCACTCGAGTTTGTTGATTGGATCTTCTTGTTCCGGTCCAAAATGTATTGCTGGTTCGAATGCTAAAAAGCTAAATGAATGAAGCGTAAATATCTGTCCACCTTTAAATGAGCTGCCCTATGTCAAAAAATACATACTTGGTAGCTGTTCCTTTGATACTCCTTGAAATAGGCGTCGAACTGTTCCCACGACTCAAAGCACGTATGCGTGAGAGGTGGCCCCACCACAGTTCGGCCAGACCCGCTACTGAAGCCGCTTGACTGCTCAGACGGCACCTGATTGGTGCTATCACCAATTGAAACGTCCCTGTGCTCATGAGAGTATCTCACATCGCGAGGGTCAACGTTGCTCTGATCACTCTGGTCGCTTTGGTTATACGAGACACTCGGCTTGCACCGCTTCCTCCCTACCTGGAGCCGGGGGTCCATTCGCCACGATTGACGTCTCGCGCTTGGCACGCGTCGAGCTATAAGCGAATGGTTTTAAATGGATAAAAAATATACGTGTATACGTTGTTCGGATGAAGCATAGGGCAAGGTGGCATTTCATCGGTGAAAAGGGAGATGGGCCAGCCGGGCACGCTCTCTTAGTTAATGGCACTCGTTATTTTGCCCGACTGAGGTAAAATAGCATCAACTTTTATACGTGTACAGATAGTAAAGTACGGTTTCTGTGGACTTAAAGCCGTGGACCCGCCCGTCTCTAAGAGAGTCTATTCGCTTGCTGCGGGGGGGGGGGGTACCTCGGCATCTAAGTCCTCGACTCGGCAAGGCGCTGTGTCTGGGATTAGAAACTAATTCCGAGCGAGTGTTGCCAAAACCGTCGGCTAACTGTAAATCCATTTTGTGCATGTTGGAGAGTATAATTGTAAAGTCGGTTAGTCAGTTTGGCAAAATACTCACTTCCTCAGGGGTACGAAGTCTCTAATTAATAAGCTTTTGAGCTGAACCCCCCTCGTTAGCCGCACCCTCCTATACCCTTTTAAAGTTGATATGCTATGATCACTTATGATGAAAGGCGGCCTTCTATTTTGCGCTAATTATCAGCATTTCTTTTTCCATAAAGCCTGCTCTCTATCCTTTTCTGTGTCTAGTTTTCTGCGCACTGGAATCCAACTTTGGATTCCAGTAGCTACTCGAAGCAAGACCGTTTGTGGCTGGACAGCCTTCTCCAACTCTTTGATGCCTTGATGCATTACATGTATCATTGCCTCGTTCGTGACTTGACGGTCGAGTTTCGGGGAGAGTAACCATCCTGCTACCTGTATAGCACCCAGCCTCCAAAGACTGTTCCAATTTCATCCTTTCGCTGACACTTCTTCATCAACTTGTCATGCTGAACAACTTGTTCAGTGAACAAAGTCCCGTAGTGGCGATTGGCTCTTACCATTGCTCCCAAAAGCTTCTGTAAATCTTTTTGTTTATAAGATTTTTAACATATAAAAACTGAAATTATCGGCTGAGCTTGGACGAAGTGTTCAGGGAAACTTATGCATTTTTGGTAAACATGTTAAAGCTCCGTGTGAGCCACTACATGTAATTGTGCTGTGTATTAATGCATGAGCTTGTATACCTTAGCTGCAACGACGTCATCAATAACTGTTTTGCGTTTGCACCGAAATCTAAAACGGGCACATCCTTGACTTTTTCGAACTCACCCCTAAAAAACATCGCCATCTGAGCCGAGGACGTGAATCTGCAGCATTTACTCGCGTACCGTGGTTAGCGGCATGGGCGACCACTGCCATGATCAACACAGTGACTAAGACAGAACCGAGTGACTTAAAAAATTCTCAGCTGCGGGGGGTGCTGAAAGTGTGACCCCGATTCAGCGCAATGGACGTTGTCTACACTTTTGGGCATAGCGTTGACGTGGACGGAGATGAATGGATTGATCTTGGACCAGTACCTACGGCGTGTGACGGGGAGTTCATGACTGCCCCTCCAACAGCGAGTCTAGGCACCGGAGTGGCCGACCGCGACAACCCGCTCACTATCGGGGAAACAGAACCACGGACGCCGATAGCTGAGCCAGACGCAGAACCAGCCCCGTCAATTACCACAGCAAGCCTCAAGAGTGGGTTTCAGGGAAAGCCAGAGAAAGGTGCAGGCGATGTCAAGAGACCGCGTTTGCTAGATCATGCTCCTGTGCTTGTATCCAAGTCAAAAGCAGCGAGATCAAAAGAGGTGCGCTGTTCTTTTCCTTCTTTTCATTTGCTTGTGATCTGTTAAAAAAACAAACGATTTTATATGAACAGGCTTTAATGGCTTTCTACCTGGGCCGAGCGAAGCAAATGGAAGCGAAGCACAAAGAGAAAGTAGTCTCGCCTACACAGCTGGCTTTCGGGGAGTAAACCGATCACTTTGGTAGCTCACAACTAAGACGAGAGCTAATACATACCTGCGTTTATTACGTTTAAACCTGCTATGTGTTCGGAGAAGGGATACTATGGTACATGTTACATGTAGAGTGAACAAAAAGAAGTACATGTATACAGTTTCGGATGCGACGCAGCTGCAGTGTGGTGATGAATTAATACGGTCCCCTCACATGATCTTAAAAAAAATAGAGCCCACCAAAATGTATGCATACGTTTTGTCACTAGAAACACACACATATCATGTGTAGCTTTAGCTGATAGCTGCGTCAGATAAGAGCCCATAAAGCGTCCAAGCAGAACAATATCCCTTCCCTCGAAGCGTCCAAGTGTCATTAAAGCTATTACAGGCAAAATCGGGCTGTACGTATTTCCATTCTAGGACATCCAGGCGGTGCGTTGTCGATCTTGCACGCTAGTTATCAAGCCTGCTGCTTGTTCGCTAACCACACGAACAACTCCAGCTTTTGGCTTGGGGAACTCGCGAAGATACTTCGCAGATGCCGTTCCGGACCTTTGAATCGAGTGCACACTGGTTCTAGAGTATCCTGGGGCTGCAGACGTCGCTCTTGCACGACCTGATACTAACTTCGAAGGTGCCGTAATAGCTCTCAATGCACTAGTTGGCCGAGTTTTTAGTGACCGCATACTCGACTGTCCGTTGCTGCTGCTAACAGTCGTACTTAAACTGCGATTGCTGCCACTGTTGCACGAGCTACCGCTATACATTGAGACGCCAGCTTTAGCACTACATGCAGCTGTACGAACTCGAAGCGATGGTGTAGATAGCGAAGCTGTCAGGTGCTGTTGTATTGAATAACATACGTCAGTACTAAATGAACAAGGAGGTGTGATAATGAAGCTCATACCGTTCGCGGAATCGCTAGTGAAGACGCAGAAATCGGCGATAGTTGAGGGATCGGAATGGGCTCCGGTGGAACTTCTTCATAATCTCGGAAGTGGAGCTCAGACAACGGGGAAGCCGGATAATGACCGAACAGTAGCGGTGAGCCAAGACTGGAACAAACTCGTGGCGAATAAGACTCGTTTTCTAAGGAAGAATTGATCAATGCATCGGTAGCTAAGCGTTGTTGCAGCTGTGTTTTAATATCAAGACAGGGGTGAGATTTTTCATCGTTATTCTTAAGATAAAATAGTTTTACTTACATCAAATCTCTTCCGGGACATGGTAGTAGCTCCATCTGCCAACTCGGGGCCTTCTACGACAGAACCACCTTGTAGTAAAACAACTCCAGAAGCCACGTTCATTGCAGCAGCGAGGGTCGTTGAATTAAACTCGGAGCTGTCAGCAGCAAACGTTGGGCTAGTGGCGCCACCAGCTTCCAGTTCGTAGCGCCAAAGACTTCGAGTACTACGCCACCCGTTGATATTTCCACCCAAAGACTCCGTCGAAGAGAACTTTCGAGGCGCTCTTTGATGTGACAGAGAGTCCGACAGAAGTGTCGTCTTTCGTTTCTGCTGTAATGTTACGTCGGTAACGTCTGCTGACTGAGATCTCCGCTTGGACTGCTGTTGGGTCTCAGCGATACTGGACATTGGCTGGAGGTTCCGAGCTGTATAATTCATTACGGATGCTGTAGAATTAATCACGGATGGCCGACGAGAGGCCCGTCTTACATCGTCTCTAGTAGTAAGCGGTTGCTCGGTAGACTCTTTAGCGTCTGAGATTGACGAGAAGCTGTCCACATTGGTTTTCATGCATACAGGTGTTGCCGCTAGAGCCTCCACCACGTTCGGAGCAGGAGCTGAGATCATGCTAACTTCCATTGATACTCGAGGCTCGGAGACAGCGAAGACCCGAGCAATGTTGGCCCACTTCGCAAATCCAGTCTTCTTGGTAGATGTCTCGAGTGTTTTCAGACACTTATCACGCCATGCCTTCACGTCCTGGAAAGAACAGTAACAGGAAGTAAGAAACTGTTTTGCATTGTCAAAATGTCCACGTACAGGTTTCTCATCGTCCGGATCTTTTTCTTTCTCGATGATCTGGATAGGGGGCGTTGTCTTCTCCGTCCCACCTATTGAAACATCAAGAAGCAGTTAGCTGAACATCATTTTGACTAGCCAAATGTTACGACCTTTTCGCGTCCTCCGCGTAGGCGACACCCCAGTTCGGGTTCGTAAATTATCGGGTGAACTGCCGACATGGGAAGCTGGAGATGAGGACATTTTGGACGGTAGTGCACTCGGTGTAGACACAGGTTTCTCGGGGCTTTTGGATGGGACGCAGCGCACAGCATGTCGGTCTTTAGCCTCGGATTCTGGTCTACTTTCCGGTTGGAACCGGTCGTCGCTAAGCGCTTGCTCAGCTTCGAGAGCTGCAGTGAAAACTGTTTCCATCACGTTGTCCCGTAATTGGGAGCTCACAGACTGAAATGTTTCTTGAGCGAGGCATTTCTGCTGGTAGTACGCATTGGTCTCCGATAGTAGAAATTCGACGCAGCTGATGGCTACAGCCTCGCTCTCGTCTTCGTCAACCGCTGAGAGTTGCAACCATCGATCTACTGCCACGATCTCCATGAATACGTGGACAAAGCTGACAGTCAAAGCCGATACATGTACGTCCAGCTGCAACACTTGCCCCTTTCAACAACTATCAATAGAGCGAGCTATTCTTAATATTACCCAAAATAAAAGACGTGTACTAGAATTCCTTACTTTTTTAAATAAAGAAGAAAATCAATATTATTTTCACATTAGATCTGAGAACGGGGGGTGACACCATCAAATCCGCACGCCAGAGTCCAAACATCACGTCTCTCACACAAATCCTGTCGAATCAGATCATGTTGAAGCCGCATGTCAACTTTTCCAGTCCCACAACTCTCTCGTCTTCAGTAAGCAATCCACTTGCCTTCCGTCAACTTACGCAAGTCACGCGCCTGTCCCTGATCTTCAGGAATCGACACTTGAAGAGGCGCTTACATTCGCCAAGACAAACGCACTGCCACGTCGAATTTCCGAACCCGCCGCTTCCCACGCACGATGAAGCCCAAGACCAAGCAGCACAAGCCCCGCGTGGCTGCCGACGTGGCCATGAGCGACGTCTCGAGACCGAGACGCTCCAAGAAGAGCGACAAGTTTAAAGACGTAGGCTGACGGTTGTAAACTGTATAATTACTGAGGAGCGTGCTAATCTGTCCGTGGCAGCTAAAAATCGAGACGCAGCAGCTCAAGGACGACGCCGAGCCTGAAGCGGAGAAAGTGGCGCCTTCCTCGACCACCAGCAAGAAGCGACGTCGGCGTCCAGCGGCGGAGATTGACCGTAAATTTAAATGTACAGTTGCAGACTGTCCAAAGGTGACAATAATTGCTTTTTTAAATAGTATTTTTATTTAATTGTCTAATATTTTATAGGCATATGGCTCGGAAGGCTCATTGATTCATCACCAGCGAGTGAAGCACCCGGAACTAGCGGAAGCTGAAGCACAAGAGAAGAAGGAGACGCAGGTTTGATCATATTTTACAATTATTGTATGAAACGAGTCTTTAATTGTGATTATTTTAATTATAGGTTGGGACATTCTTGCTGCCACTGCACAATGCGCCTCGAAATGTGACGATCCGACCAGCCACGCCTTTAGTGGCGTTCGCTACGGACCCAACGCTGCTGCTCAGCAACCAAAGCACCAATAATAACTCCGTGCTCGCGTCTCCCTCGGATATTCTCCCTCCATCCGCCAAAGCTCCTCGACGCAACTTACGCTCACGCTCCAACTCGGAGCCAGTTGCGTTGATGGAAGCAGTGGCTACACCCATGATCACCGTCGCTACGCCGAGCTCCAACCCCGTCAAAACACGCGCTCGAACATCTCGTAAAGCGCGTCGAGTGGCCACTCCGCACCCTAAAAAGCCAGCACTTCCCGCTCGCCGCACTAAAATCCGCTCTAAATCCGAGTCTCTACCAGAAATGACAGCTCCGTATCAGCCTTTGAAGGAGCTTAAACTACCCGTTAATTATCGCAGTGACAGCGTCTCCAGCACTCACGAGGCCATTCTACATCTCAGCAGCGTTGATTCCTCGTTCGAGTGGCCTCCGTCATCGATATCAGCGTCGGATTTACAGTCCTCAACGTCACTTTCCAGCCACGACCAAGCTATCGACAGCGATATTTTATCCGTCTTAGCCAACTGCGACGACCTCGGCGATGCTTCTGTATTAGATTTCGGCGCACCGCCGTCGTCAACCAGCTCGTATCACTCCACTACGAGCTTCGCGGAGAGCGAAGATACCGAAATGGTACCGGTCGGCATGGAATGTTTCAAAATTGCTGAAAATGCGACGTTGCCGACCGAAGATATTCAGCCTTTTCCAATGAACGAACCGGAGGCAGAGCTCGGCTTGAAGGCCTTTGCTGCTCTTGGAGACGACTGGACTAATGCTCTACATTTGTCTAGTCATATGGAGAAAATGTCGATGGCGCAGGTAGATTCACCACCTGCCAGCTTGGAATCTTTTGGCGTTAGAGAAAGAAACGTTGGTAGACTGCGGTCTGCCTCGGATCCGGTTCATGTGGCTGCTCCAATACATTCCGGAGGGCTAACCCACTTTTCGTCCATGCCGTTGGATACTTTCCCGACGAAAAGCGGTTTAAACAACGAAATGGAAAACGCCAATTTTCAGCAATGGTTTGGACCTGCTAAAATGGCGGAAAGCAACCAGCAAATGCTCTGGCTGTCGAGTCAAGCTGACGTTGCCGCTGCGACCACCACGCAGCCAACGTCGGCAGCGCTCGATGAGTTATTGCAACATGACGACGCGGTAGATTGGAAAGCTGCGAGTGTTTTCGAGCGCGACGAAGATGTCGAATACGCGTTAAATGACGCGGAAATGCCGTCGACACTGCTGTAACCAGAGCTCTTGAGATAGACTCGCACGAGCAACTGACTTGTTTCTTTTTCTACTTTTCACCTAGGTGTTTGGACTCGTGGTAGTTTATAGCATTGTTTTATTTTGTAAAGGAAGTCCATTGTTATGTTTCAGCAAACCAAAACAATAAAAACACGTTGTGTTATATAAATTCTATCGTATGTGTCCCTTGACGCTCACTAGTCGTTATCGCGCTAAACATTGAACTTGTCGATGGCTATGCGAGACGATGACGCTATGTTCTCTTCGCAGAGGCCTCGATCTCCGGTACAGCAGAGGCTTCACGATGGTTTCCGCACTGATCGTCGATACCTAACACAAATGGTGACAGAGGCTCACAACGAGCGTTCAACTCGAGTCGACGCTGTTTTGGAGCTCAAGAAAGACTTGGACGCGTCTGCCGCGAAGGTCGGGGCTCAGAGTGCTGCGCTTCAAGCTCGAGACCAAGCGGAGAAGATGCAGCAAGCCAAGATGCATCAAAGTCTGATCGATCAAGGTAGAAACCCGTACGAAGTGGCGAGACGCAAAGTGGTGCAGCGACAAGCACGCAGAGAGCGATCACGCATTGATCGCAACATTCAAGACCGTCAGGCTAAGCTTTTAGGGCAGTTAGAAGCGGAAAAGGTCATTCAAAGACGACGCGAGAAGGTTGAGGACGAAAACCGAGCGTACGAACGGAAATACCAACGAGAAATGGGTCGATCCCAGGAAGAGCGCACAAATGCCTTTTTGTTGTCCCGAACGGGTAAAGACTCGCTGGATCCTACCAGTAAATCGGTTCGTGTGTATCCATCTCAAGAGACTACAATCAAAGATCATACCTTTGGTCTCGGACATAGCGCTGTTTTAACGCCAGAACACCGACGACAGGTTGTCGAAAAGATTTTAAACAAAGGGACGCATAACGGAACGAAGACGAGTTCATTGCTACTACCTCGAAGACAGCAAAACTCAACAGAAACCGGTAATAACTCGAGCAGAACGGAAGATGACGTTGACTCGGAGAAACTGATTACCTCATCACTGGCGCCCGGACGGGGATCACGTACAGTAAACCACGCTTTGTTGTCAAATAGTGACGTAAAGCTGCCACCCATTAGAAACGTTTCTAAAGGTCAAGACGAAGATAATCAAACAGACAAGGCAGCGCCAAAGCCACGAGCTCGTAGTGTAATGGAGGAGCGACAATTAGCAAAGGCTCGGCAGCGACAGAAAGAGTCGCGGTTTGCTCAGTCCCAAGTGGTGTGGGGTAAGACGTTCACAGGCAACGCGTTTCTATCCAATCCTGCGCTACTGTGGTTCAAGGATTTCGACGTTGGGCGTGCTTTTACTCTTGGCTTTACTCTGACGAATGTCTCCAACACATTTAACCAGTTTCGACTACTGCCGATGGAGGAACAAGTCGTCGAGTTGTTCGATATCGTGTACGAGAAACCCGGTCGGATGTCTGCGGGGATGAGTTGCACGTTGAAAATGACGTTTACAGGGACCGAAGAGCGAGATTTCGACACCTTTTTAAGTGTAGCTTCCCCCACAGGGGTCTTCCAACTGCCAATTCGTTGTACTTGCAAGAAATCCGTACCGATTCTAACCCACCGCCAAGTTCGATTCCCTGAAATCGTCGCTGGGGAACGTACGACCGTCACGTTGACTCTTGCTAACGAGGGCGCTTTGCCACTTGAATATCGTGTACGTCGTGTACTGCCTTCGATAGAACCGGAGCCTGTGTCTTCCACGGACGTAGTAGAACTGAATGATGCGGAGACACGTAGTGTAGACACTTTCAACGAAAACCCTCAAGACGATAATGGACAAAGCGTTGATGACACTGATAACCAAGAAGAGCCCGGTCCTGAGTCTCGCGTTACCAGTGCTGCGTCAACCAGATTGTCCATTGATACCAAGCAGCTTGAAGTTATCGAAGAAGTTGATGATCCTTTGAATCCAGACGAGCAGGAACTAGTCGATCGTATTCTTGATACTACACGTTTTAAGCCGGAAGGTGCGGATGAACCCATCCGGTTTACTAGACGAGGTGTCGTTGCGCCATATTCCAGCAGCGCTGTATCGTTTACCTTCGCCCCCGCCACTGCCATGACGCTAGAAAACCAGCCTTTCCTATTCGAATTTCCAGGTGCATCATCTGGACGTCTGCCCCCCATTCCGGTTCTAATATCGGGTGTGGCCTCGCAGGTCCCAGTCTTTGTTTCTCGCTCATTAGTGGACTTCCGATGCTGCGCGTATGGGAAACTGTATCGACATGAACTCACCGTCTGTAATCGAGGTAAAGTCGCGCTGAAAGTCCACATCCAAGTGCCAAAACCTCTGAAAGGATACGTCGAATTCAATCCTAGTTTCGGGTTCGTACAGATGAACTCTAAAGAGGGAATATTTCCCGTGCAAGTAAAATTTCGCCCCGAAGATAAAATGTGGAAACGAATCGAACGTGCTGGTTTCGGCTCCCGAGCGCTGGGAATGCTGGCCGTTCCCGTTCAAGTATCAGTGCCTGACCAAGTCGTGCCAGTCTTCTTCATTCTCAAAGCCAGACTGACACCTACAGAGCTACTTCTTAAAAGTGGGAATAACGAGAAAGGGCTTCATTTCGGGACATGTTGTGTCGGGCATAGCGTCAGCCACGAACTTACTGTCACCAATCCTGCTCGAGTTCCACAACGTATCGGCGTAACCTCACTACCAAAAGATGTTACAGTAGCCGACGTGTCAGAGGGAGTCGGGATTGTGTTGTTACCTGGTGAAGAACGTATACTACGTGTAGTGTATACGCCGAGTTTTCCGGGAGTTCTTAAAGGTGCTGGTACTATGGGACGGTTAAAACCTGTTCTAACACTATACTCATCGACGTTTAATCACGAGTATACTCTGACATGCTCGGGAAATGGAGTAGCAAGCGAGGTGATTTTCTCTCAGTCGACCGTGCGTCTTGGCGCCACGTCACTGGGACAAACGCAGACGTGTCACGTTAAGCTGACAAACCAGTCAGAGCACCATACACAGCTTGTAGAGTTGAAGTCACCGCCTGAAGCTGCGTCATTTTTGAAGATTACGCCACTTGTAGCACGTCTGGCACCTCAGGAAAGTGTACGAGTGGAGATCGACTTTGAACCTACTGAAGACATTTTTAACCTGGTTAAAACGCGTTTTTACGAGCCGAAAATGTCGGGTGGAAACGCTGATTCGATGGCTTATGCGCCAAGTGTTCGCGTCGAGTTGAGCACCGCAGAGGAGCTTGAAGATGTTGTATCTGTGCCTCGTAGTTGTCATCTAACGTGGACTATTTTGTGCTTCCATCAGCTTGAAATGAGCTCGAATAGTGCACCATTAAAGACTCCCGTTCAAGCTTTGGAAGTCCGGACAACCGTTTTGGAGCCTTTTGTGATCCCTTCTACAACAAATATGGATTTTGGACAGGTGGCCATCGGTCAAACTCTCGTCCGTGACCTCGTTCTAGAGACATCACCCCGTGTGACTGAGAGCGTGGCACTCCGTGCTCAGCCTCTGCATATTCTAGGAGCGTTCCGGTTGATCGGGGCTTTACGTGAGCTTCCAGCAGGCTCGGACAATAAAAAGAAGCGAGCGATTCGTATCGAGTTCGAACCATGCACTCCATTAGTGTATGAAGATGAACTGGAGCTAGCAGCTCTTGGAGTGAATATCCGAGTTAAACTTAAGGGTATTGGGATTAACCCCAACTTATCGCTCACCCCCGAAGACGGGAACGTGGATTTCCAAGACGTACTGGCGCGTACACGAAATGTACGGGAGCTTGTACTGACGAATGGAAGCGCCTTCCCATTGGCCTTCTCGATCGTGACATTAAAGGGGATGGGCGATACTATGGAGAATGGGGAAGTAATCTTGAGTTCGATGGGGTTGCCAGTGTTTACGTTCTCCCCTACAAGTGCTACTATCCCTGAAAATGGTACTTTAAACGTACAGGTGGTCTTCCAGCCAGACCACCAAAGACCGGATCACTATTCCCAAAGGTTCCGTATCAAAGTCCCGAATGAAAGTGAGCAACATATAATTACCGTCGCTGGTCGCTGTTGGGAGAACCAGCTGTATGTGTTTGCACCGACTGCAGAAGCAACGGAACCGATTGAGAAGCAGCCGCTGTTGGCGCCTCTGGTCGAAGATCTGTTCGATCTTCCTTCTAGTATTTCCCTCAATCAAATATCAAGTAATGGAGGGAATGAGCTGTCTGCTGCGGGACTACGTAAACCAACGTCCTCGTACGTCCTCACTTTCAATAATGGGGACGAAGCTGATACTTCAGGTATTGGACGAACTATTAAGACTCTGTTCATTGGCAGCACAATGCCGAGTAGTGGAGTCTATGGCGGGCTGGATGAAGGTCCTACGGGTACACTTGGAGGCTCTGCTGGCACGTTTGAGCTCGTGGTCGACACTCTGTCACCTCACGCAAAGTTATTTACGCTCGAACCTGCTCGTGGGTCCATCGCAGCGGGTCAACAACTTGCCGTCCAAGTCACGTACACCCCACTCGCAGATTTCTTAAATTCTGCGTCTTCTGCAGGCTCAAAGTCGCGACCTGAGTTGGAAGTGGCGCAGTGGGTGCAGCTTCGAGTGGAGTGCGTTCTTAAAGGTGGCTCGCTTTGGCGTATATTACCGACGGTAACGGGAACTCCGGCAGCGATGGGCGGGCAGCAGACGAAGGGAGCCAACACGAGCGCAGGCTCGACACCAGAGGGAATGGATACACGAATTATTCCGGTTCTATTGCGAGCTCGGGTAGAAACATAGGTACATAAATTGAACCATAAATTGAACCAAAAAAGGTCTTCTTGAGATTACCACATATATTCGATTAGAGGAGTTGAGGATTAGGACAAGAAGGTCGATTTTGAATATTTTTTTTTAACATTTAACTTGCCCCTCTACTGTATTCTTTAGGGTAAAGTTCCGAAACTTGTATTCTACACGATAATGTTTTAAACAAATCAGGCTCTAGGGCGCTTTGTCAAAGGTGCTTACTGTAAGTAATAATGACAAAGATAATTTGTCAGTAACGGGGTACGTAGCACTAAGTGTACCCTGGTTACATGAAGTGTGACACTTCACACTTCAGGAGTATGACATGTCATACTCCGGGATATTTGGTACAAGGTACCAAGGTCATTCAAAACCAACCATTGGTTAAATGACATTGCATTTCTATAGGTAACTGATAGTTTGTATTAACCACAAACTTAACCTACCTATAAATATACTCAGTTTACAATCTACCTTATTTAGGTCACTTCGCTCTCTTTAATTAAAGAGGGGACCTGTGAACTGCCGTTCACTGAGAGTTTGTATACTCTCGGAAGATAACTTCCTCTAGCGCAAGGTGCTGTGTGACCCCGTCACACTTGGTAGCACTTGTAGTCAATCCACGCCATCGCGGGTAGACTACCTGAACCTCCGAAGCTCGTTGCCATGGATAGGAACGACTTCTCCCATATGAACGACTCTCAGTTCGAGTCGGTTCGGAAGATGGCAGGCATCTTCGGGATGGAGGCCCTGCAGAGCCTGGTGGTATCAACACCGGCTGAGCAGCTCGAGCGCGTCAATGCATTCGACGCGTACGAGCAGGGCCTCATCGCGCATGTGCGGGAGAACCTGCAGGCTCCGGCGGCGGAAGCAAACCCGCCTCACCCGAAGCCAATACGGCTGAAGGTAAAGCCGTATAAAGGGAAGGAAGGCGAGAACCTTCACTTCTGGGTCCGAGAAGTAGAGCTCGCGATGGACGCGGCTCTGATCTCGACCGAGCAACTGCGTGTTGCTTTTGCACTCTCCAACCTTAGCGGTCGTGCTAAGAGTTGGGTGTACACTCGGGAAGCGACATCCCCTGGATGTTTCACATCCTGGGCTCAGCTGTGCGAACAGCTCCGAGCCGCGTTCCTCCCGGCGAACTACGAGTACCGCCAGCGTTCGCGCTTCCTCGCGTGTAAACAAGGAAGACGCGAACTGCACGAGTATGTGCAAGAGATACGGGAGCTCACGGCGTCCCTAGTGGGAAACCCACTCAATGAACACATCAAGATGACTGTGTTCATGGACGGCCTTCGAGTGGGCCCCGCACGCACTCAGCTGTTCCGGGTGCAGGCAAACACCCTTGAAGAGGCGATTCAAGTGGCTCTTCAAGAAGAATACAGCCATCGCCAGGCGCGTACGCCGGCCTCAGCGTGGCCTGGGAGTTCCTTGTCGGCTCCCGGTCGAACAAGCCCCAACGGACCAGTTCCCATGGAACTCGGGTCCGCCGAACAGCGTGACATCCGTTGCTTCGGCTGTGGGAAGATGGGCCACTTCAAGCGCGACTGTCCCGCGGAAAGACTCCGCAGACGGTCCTTCCCCAAGCCCGTCCTCAAGGGTCGCTGGCAGAAGCCAGGATCCCGGGGACAGGGGAACGCAGGGAACCAGTAGGGGCGGGGCGCCCTACTGGGGAAGAACTAAGTCTTCGTGATGGGTGCGCGGGTGGCGCGTACCACGGGGACTTAGCCCCTGAGAGTCTTCGCACTCTCGAATCGGCGAAGAGCAGCGGCGGGTTGCTCGTAGTACACGGATGTGTACGGGGGTACGATCACCCCTTTAGAATCTTGATTGACTCTGGGGCGTCGAAGAATTTCGCACGCCGCCAGACGGTTGCTCGTAACAGCAACAAGTTGTCCGAAGCTTTGCGAGAAAGCAAGGGCAACGGGACGGTGCCAGTGCGACTGGCCGACGGGAAGGTCGTCACTGTCCCCAACGTCCAAGTGGATCTGGCTGTCAAGTTTGAAGACTTTGACAGCCTCGAACAGTTCACTGTTCTCGATATGGATCCATATGATATGATCCTGGGCATGCCCTGGCTTGAGAAGCACGAGCCCTGGATCGACTGGCGAGGCAAGGCAATCGGTGCCAGCCGCCCTGCGCAGTCCGACAGAGCATTGGTGAGTCATGTTCCCACCTCTGTCAGGACCCGGGGCGCCTGCGAGGGCTGCCAGGGTACCAAAGCATCCGGCAGATGCTTGGGAGTCGTCGACGTATATGACGACTCCGAGGATGTTTTGATGGTGGCCGCGCCCAGAAGAGGCGCCGGCCAAGTGGGCAACTTAGGTCCACAGGCGGGTAACTTAGTTCCGCAGACAGCTGCAGCTGTCATGAACACTGAGAACAGCGTGTTCAGAGTGGGTAACAGAGTTCCACTCACGGTCGCCCAGACCATAACTGAAGAGGAAGACGTCGGATACGCTTCCTGTGTGAGTAACACAGTGCCACACGCGGTCGCCCAGACCTTAACTGAAGAGGAAGGCGTTGAACACGCTTCCTGTGTGGGTAACATAGTGCCACACGCGGTCGCCCAGACCTTAACTGAAGAGGAAGGCGTTGAACACGCTTCCTGTGTGGGTACAACAGTACCACACGAGGCCACGAGTGCCTCGGATGTCGTAGCGACGACATCCCTAGACGTGGGCAGCAAAGCTCCCCGTCACAGAAGCCGTCGGCAAAGACGCCGCCGCCGCCTCAAGTCGGATCCGAACTTCGTTCCGATCGACGTCGCTTCAAGCGACTCGGAGTCCAGGGCCCGGGCTCCTCCGACAAGGCCGGTGGAAGAGTGTTATCACATCTTCGATAGCGAGACGGGTTTACCCGTCAAGGCATCTGGTGTCCACTTGGAACCGTTGCCAGAGGTTGCAGAGATACTGAACCTCGAGGAAATGACGGCTGAGTCTTTCCTGGCCAACCTCAAGGCTGGAGAGATCGCTGAGATGGTACTCATGAGACCTGAGACCACTCAGGAGGAGCTGAACTCCTCCTCTGTCTTGGACGAGAACGTCCTGGAAGACATGAACAAGCAGCGTCAGGCGCGCTTGGGTTCTGAGATTCTCAAGAACCCCAAGGATCCGGTGTATCCTTTGGTGACGGAGTATGCGGACGTGGTGAACAAACACCCACGGACCCAACTCCCACCGGATCGAGGCGTACGGCACGAGATTGATCTCGTGCCCGGCACAAAGTATTGTGTCACGAGGCAATGGCCTCTCCCGCGCGAACAGTGCGAGGTCATTGATGCCTTCTTCGCCGCGAAAGCGAAGGCAGGCATGGTGCGGGAGTCGAAATCCCCGCACTCGACGCCGACTTTCTGCGTTCGTAAGCCGAACGGAAAGTGGCGTCTGGTTCACGCTTATAACAAGCTGAACAACGCAACGGTGCCGGCCCAAACACCGATCCCACGAAAGGATGTGTTGTTGAACAACATGGCCGGGAGCGTACTGTACAGTGCGCTGGATTTGGTAGACGGATACTACCAAATCCTGATGCGAGAGAGTGACATCCCGCTCACCGCGGTAAGCACTCCAAGCGGCATGCTTTGGGAGTGGCTCGTCATGCCGCAGGGCTTGTCTAACGCCCCGGCGACGTTCAATCGCCTGGTGACGCAATTGTTCCGCCCTTTGCGTACCTTCGTACAGACGTACTTCGACGACATTTTCGTCCATAGCCGTGCCGAGGGAGGCAAGACGGCCATGGAGGTGCATCTAGGACACCTCCGTCGAGTGTTGGACGTGATGCGAGCGAACAAGCTCTACGCCAACATCGACAAGTGCGTTTTCGCGTCACCAGAGATCAAAGTTCTCGGTTGCTTCGTAAGCAACGTGGGCGTTCGGGCTGACCCAGACAAGGTCAAGGCCATAGCAGCATGGCCGACGCCCCGATCCCAGAAGGATCTTCGAAAGTGGTTGGGTTTGGCCAACTACCTTCACAAGTACAGCGCTGGGTACGCGGGCTTCGCTAAGCCTTTGTCGAGCCTCCTTCAGAAGGACGTCGACTGGCGCTGGGAGCAAGAGCACCAGGATGCTTTTGACAGCATCAAGGCCAGTCTCCAAGAGGCCCCTGTCCTGGCTCTGCCGGACGAGACGAAGCCGTTTAGCGTCGTCTGCGATGCCTCCGATTACGCCATCGGGTGTGCATTGCTGCAGGACGACACGGCTGGACAGGAACGAGTCATCTCATTCCAGTCCAGGCAGCTCAAAGCCGCCGAGCGGAACTACCCTGTCCATGACAAGGAGCTCCTGGCAATGAAATATGCCCTTGTGAAGTTCCGTGTTCACCTTCTGGGCTCTACGCCCTTTGTGATCTACACAGACCACGCGTCCTTGAGGACGGCGACTAACTCGCCTCACCTCTCCCAACGGATGGCGAGGTGGCTGTCCTTCTTCGCGGAATATAACTTCCGCGTCGAGTACCAAGCCGGGCAAGCTCAACGTGCTTGCGGACGCCCTCTCTAAGGCGTTCCGGACTATGAGTTGGCCCCACATCACGCGGGTGACAACGGATCTATATGATTCGGATACGCATGGCGTATCGGGACGATGAAGCTGTCGCGCCTATCGTCAAGTTCCCTAAAGCCGGAACGAGCGCGAAAGTCCCGACTGGCTCTCGTCGCGACAGCGCTCACGGCTCCACCGATATGAGTTGAAGGAGGGCCTCCTCTATTATCGGGTGGAGCCCACTGATCCTCCACGGGGTGGTCGTACCCAACGACGAGGGATCTGAAGTTCGACATTCTCGCGGGAGGCGCATGACGCGCCCTCCAGCGGCCACTTGGGCCGCGAGAAGACCTTTCTGTCGGTCTCTCAGTCCTTCTGGTGGACCCACATGTACAAGTGGGTCGCCCGGTACGTCAAGACATGTGAAACATGTCAGCGGGTTAAACCGCAGGGCACTCTTCGGCTCCACTACAGAGCCTGCGCGTACCGGCTGATTGTTGGAAGTCGATGAGT